AATTTGCCTTCCCTTCCCCGGTTCCTTATTTAAACTTTTCAGAATCAGCACAGGGTGAGCATGGGCGGGGTGTGTTTTGTCATTAAGCCTCCAAACAAGATGCCAGCGTATCAGCCAAATGCTCCGCTTAGCCCCCCTGCTTTCCATTAACTTTGAGTTCAAGCCTCAGTTTAGTTTGTAAGCAAAAAAAACCTTGACTTTGTTCTTGTTCCTGTATTGTTGTTCTAATCTCAGAGGCAGCTACAAATTGAAAATTGCAGCGCAATGCAAAGGAATTTTCCCCTCCTAGTGCAGGGCAAAGATACACTCCTGACCGCAGTGCCTTGAGCTGCCATTCGTGGTGGATTTAGATTCACAGGCTTTTTTTGAGTTTAGAAAGAAGTTGTAAACAGCCACACGACAAGACCTTGGCCTCAAAAATCTACTTCTTTCCATCTTCATTTTTTAATTTGTTGTAACACCTAGCCCTGATGAGAAGAGTTCTGATTAAGCTTAGATTTTTGCACAGTGTTATCTGCCATTTTGGTTGGCCCCATTAAAAGGTATTACATGGATTTTGTTTTTTCTTCTCTTTTTAAAATTAACCTTGTCATTAGAGCATTAGGGAACCATCCATGAGGAACTTTCTTGCCAATTTGAATAAATGTGTGTGGTGGTATGTAGGAGCGCACACATAAAACAGTGAAGAGTCTGGCACCTGAAAGATGAGTACATTTGTTGTGGCATGAGCAATATCCCATATACTCCATCAGATCAAAGAACTGAATACTGCAGTAATGGTCCACTAGTAGTGTGGATCCCCGCACAAACCCAAATTGGTTTACATCATCTTCCATTCTTCTGCAAAACCATTCAAACACCCTGCATTAGCCAAACAGCTCAAATAAACAGGCTTCAGTTGCTGGCCCATAGCAGTAGGCGGAGTACTGACCATTTACACTATGCTAATAGGGGCTGTGGTGGCCCAGTGGTTAAGACACTGAACTGCAGACCGGAAGGTCGGTAGTTCAACAGTTTGAGACCCGAGTGCCGCATGACGGAGTGAGCTCCTGTCTCTGGCTCCAGCTCCTGCCAACCTAGCAGTTTGAAAGCAATAAATTGGAAGTAGATTAATAGGTACTGCTTCGGTGGGAAGGTAACAGCATTCCGTGCGCCTCAGCGTCTAGTCATACCAGCCACATGACCACGGAAACGTCTTCGGACAGCGCTGGCTCTTCGGCTTGGAAATGGAGATGAGCGCCACACCCCTAGAGTCAGATTCAACTGGCTTTCGAGCAAGGGGAACCTTTATCTTTTACCTTACGTAGGAGATAACTTCTGTTTCTAGTAGCTTGGCTAATCTAGCTTCCAGTTCAAGCCAGAGGAAGTGTCAGATCTGACAGTAAATTGGAGTTAGTCCTTAAGATGTCACCATCCTCCTTGTTTTTGCCGCAGCAAACTTAAGACAGCTGCTCTTCCCTGGTTTTTAAAGATGATGCTCCAGAGAGCTTACAAGGGCGAGGAAAAGAATGTAACCATCCTGCCTCAGGGCAGCTCTTAGAGCAAATTTTTTGGTGCTTTGAGGGGAACGTCTTTGACTTACCATTCTGTCGTGAGCCACTCCCTCAGCAGTCTGATTTTTAATCACTATTTTCATCAGACCACAGGAAAAGATCACCAATGTCCCTCTTAAAGGACACAATCCCAGGAGTTCTTGTCCCCTTTAAAAATAACCACCCTCCCTCAATAAACATGCCTATTCAGAGGCAGACCGATTCCCTACAACATTTGGAATGTTAAATTTAAAACATAACAATGTAGAAATACCCTTTGATTAAGACAGGGTTCTAATGTGTTCTTCATACGAGAGGGTAATAAGTAATGCTGTTTCCTTTTGTTTAGTGGTAGGGTTCAGCACATCACTGTTAACAATCTAAGTATCAAATTTTGGGTCCTCTGGGAATGGCCTTAGTTTCTTATTCTCCTTGAGGGGGAAGGAAAAGGGCATATAGGAATGCAACTCTGAGATAGAAGGTTGAGGAATCGTTCAAGTATGTTGAATAAGGGAACTGTAAAATTTGGAAGAGTCTTCACTACAGGACATGTGGCTGTGGTCTGCGTTTGTCACTTCTGCCATCTGGTCTTTTGTCCAACTTGCATCTAATATATGTCTGTTTTCTTTTCCCCCTCTGTTAAGATGTGTTGGGTTGTCCTTCAGGAAGCCCCATTGCTCTGACTGCTTGATACAAAAATATGAAAAGGTTCAGCATTCGGGTGAAAGTCTGAGTCTGTTTGTGATTCCTGAGTACACAGTTCTGGTGTCACACACAGCCATGTTTTCATTATGCTGTGGTTCGTATGATTCTGTCTGAACTTGGGTTACTTCATGAATGGTGTCTGAACTGAGTCAGTATGGTGCAGCATGTTGAAGCACATCGCCCAACCTTTGAGATGGCCACAAAGCGATATGTGGGTAGAGCTTCTGGTTTGCATGGAGATGACTGCGATTCCATGTTGATGTTAATTCCTGGGTGTTTTCAGTACCAATGTTGCAGGATGTGCTTCATGACTGTTTAAGAAATAACTAGAATGAAAAGGGGCAAATGAGTGTCCGTTGAGCTTGGTTTCACCTGTGATTTGAGTAGACCTGTGGTGCCACATTCAATAAAATCATGACTAAATAGTTAACTCTAGTGGGTGAGGTTAGCTTATTAAGAATGTTAATAACAAAGTTATTCTTTTCCCAATAACCTACTGCCTGGCCCTTTTAAGTGGAGATGTCAGGGATTGAACCTGGGGTGTTCTGCGTGCCAAGTAGAGGCTCTCCCACTGAGCCACAGCCCACCCTCTTTGTGCTATAATGCAGCTCAAGAACAAAAAGCAAATGGGACACCCAGTCCCTTAGCAGGAAGTCGTGCTGCCGTCTGCATCTATTGACTTGGTGAGCTTAGGGGTCTGGTGCAGGGTTTGGATGCAGAGTGTGGGAATGAGCATAGATGTTAGAAATGCTAGAGTAACATTGGTATCCGGTTTGATTGGGGAAGTCCTGGCAGCCAAAAGAGAGAGAGAGAGATAATATGGTGGGCGGGGCCACTGTTGACTGGAGGTGCTCATTGTAAACTTGGAGCTCGACGGCACTGCCAGGCACTGCCAAGACTATGCCTGTGTGCCAGCATGAGGAGTTTCAAGAGCTAATGCTACACCTTTGTCTATTAAGCGAACGTTTAGAGGCAAAGAATTCAGTCAAAGAGTCAACTCCTTATTTATGTGCTTCATTTATATGCTGCCTGTCTCTCCAATGGGGAGACCTCTTCTCCATTTTATCCTCACAAAAACACTGTGGGGAAGGTGAGGTGGAGAATGTGTGACTGGCCCAAGGTCCCCCAGCAACCTTCCATGGCTCAGTGGGGGATTTGAACCTGGGTCTCTTAGATCCTAGTCCCGACCCTCTAACCACTGCATTGCACCGGCTATATCTTTTTATCTTTTTTTATCTGTTCAAAACATGCAATACATGCTGTACCTTTGGGATATAGGTCAGGATGCAAATTGCAATACATCAAAAAGCGTTCAGGTTTTTGAGCAGAAGTTGAAAAGTAGAGAGCTTTTGAACAGTTGCTTTTAAATCTTAACTAGATGAATAATTTTAATGCATGATGAGAGAATCAAATCTATTGTCATGTGTTGTGGAACGGCAAAATGCTTCATTGGCATGAATATTTCAGTACGCAATGCTCTGCCACGCAGATATCCTGGGAGGCTCGACACTCATGCAGCTGTGGTTGTGTGTCGAGTTTTAGAGATCTTCCATGGGTTCAGTGATTGTTCTTAAGCATTTGTGCCTCACACAGCTGTGTGGCCACATAGGCATGCATAATTTGGTGTTGGGAGCCTGAGGATCAGAAGGCTGGAGTGAAGACCTTTGGTTCGTGCCACATAATTACCCTGGGCAGCTCAGTGGCACTCTGATACGGCATTAAAAATCCTGGTGCCACAGATACAATGGTGTTTGGATCTAATTAAAGTTTAATTTGATGTCAATTTAAATTAAGAGGGGCTTGCACATGCTAGTCCGTTGTGACTTGGATAATACTAATCTCAATCAGTGGGCTGAGCAGGACATGAAATCAAATTCTCACAGTACAATAGAAGTGACAGGAGCAACTTGACACCTTAAATTAAAATTACTAAATTCCAAGCAATTGATGTATGTGACCCCCAAGCTATGCAGGCTAGGTCATTAAATGCGATCCATAGCAATTGAGCTGAGAGGCACACTGTAATGAACCGGGAGCAGGAAGGAAATGGTTTGTTAACAAGCATGAGCTAAAGGCTTTGCAGGCTAGAACACGAGGAAAGGCTTAAAACGTCTGCCTTTGTCTCTTCAGATTTAACAGTTAACATGTCCTTGGGTCACCAGGGTTAAACATTTTCATCCTCCTTGACTCGGCGATTATGATTCCAATATGGAAAAGGTGGTAAAATGGCCTTTTGGAATATTCCGCTGTGTAACATACAAGATTGACATCATCTGCTCTTTCCTTATAGGCTAAGGCACTTTCCCCCCCTCTATGCCTGACTTTTCAGCCAAGATTGGTTATGAAATTGGCTGATAACAGTTTAAATATATGCCGTTACAATGTACTGAGAGATATACAATGGTGGTGGTGCATGTGTGGGGTGGTTAATTTCATCTTGGTCCCAGCAGTGGAGTATGAGAAGCTGCCTTATTCCAAGTAGGACCTCTGTATCTCCTTTGGCTGTCAGTGGTTCTCCAGGGTCACACTCAGAGAAAACTATTTCCCAGCCACTTTACACGTCATGATGGATTGAATCTGGGGCTCTTTGCTTGCAAAGTATATGCCACGGAGGACCTCTGATTTTAATGATTTTATCCTAGTCGGAGTTATAAACTCTTTCCTCCAGTGGGAAGATTAGTTGCCGGTGGACTTGGGGTTTGACAAGTATATTTCAGGCAGCGTTGCTAACTGTGGCTCTGTATTCCCCCTCTTGCCCCTTAGCACTGTGACTTCGGCGGTCTTCACTGTGGGGGATAATGTTGTTTCGGGGAGTGATGACCGTACTGTGAAAGTCTGGGACTTGAAAAATATGAGATCACCTATTGCAACTATCCGTACAGATTCTGCAGTGAACAGGTAAGCAAAGCCACAAGATTAAATGTGGGAGGGGTTGGCTGACCTCCATGTAATAACCCTGGGGATCCAATTGATGTTCAGTTTTTGAGGCTTAGCTGGAATCCACCTTAACTTGGATCCAAGATCACTGCAGACGGTGACTGCGGTCATGAAATTAAAAGACGCCTGCTCCTTGGGAGGAAAGCTATGACAAACCTAGACAGCATAATAAAAAGTAGAGACATCATCTTGCCAACAAAAGTCCGTATGGTCAAAGCAATGGTATTCCCAGAGTAATGTATGGCTGCGAGAGTTGGACCATAAGGAAGGCTGAGCGCCAAAGAATAGATGTGTTTGAATTATAAGAACATAATGTTGGATCAGGCCAAAGGCCCATCCAGTCCAACACTGTGTCACACAGTGGCCAGAAATACCAGTGCCATCAGGAGGTCCAGCAGTGGGGCCAGGACATTAGAAGCCCTCCCACTGTTGACCCCCCGAAGCACCAAGAAGACAGAGCATCACTTGCCCCAGAACCCCTATCTATACCTTGTGGCTAATACCCACTGATGGACCTCTGCTCCATATGCTTATCTAATTCCCTTTTGAAGCCGTCCATGCTTGTAGCCACCACCACCTCCTGTGGCAGTGAATTCCATGTGTGAATCACTCTTTGGGTGAAGAAGTACTTCCTTTTATCCATTCTAACCTGACCGCTCAGCAATTTCATTGAGTGCCCATGGGTTCTTGTATTGTGAGAAAGGGAGAAAAGTATGGTGCTGGAGAAGACTCTTGAGGGTCCCTTGGACTGCAGGGAGATCAAATCAGTAAATCCTAAAGAAATCAACCCTGACTGTTCCTTGGAAGGCCAGATACTGAAGTTGAAGCTCAAATACTTTGGCCACCAAATGAGAAGGGAGCACTCACTGGAGAAGACTCTGATGCTGGGAAAGATTGCAGGTCAAAGAAGAAGGGGACAGCAAAGGATGAGATGGTTAGATAGTGTTATCAATGCAACAAACATGAAATTAAGCATACTCCAGAGGACAGCAGAAGACAGGAGGGCCTGGCATGATGTGGTCCATGGGGTCGCGAAGAGTCGGACTCGACTGTGCGACTGAACAACAATACCTTAACTCGGAGATCTTCACTTTCTTCTTGACTTTCATCACATGAAATTTCTCGGCAAGGGCTGAGCCCTAGCCTGGATACCTCCAAGCTGAAATTTGTGCAGAAGGACATTCTAAAACGGCGGCTCTTAGTTTCTGCTTGCAATGTGAGTTTGCTGCCATCTTGAATGTTTGGTGTAAAGTCAGAACAGTGGCATCCATGGTAATTTTCATCTTCAAAGAAAATGAGTTTTTGAGAGACTGGTATGGGACTCAAGAGATAATTCATAGGGCTGGAGACCACTGAAAAGATTTTTTCTGTAAAATCTGTGCTCTCTCCAAAGAGCTCAGTTTATGGTTGCCTTGCTTCCAGACAGAGTGTTCTGAACCAAAGTAGTTTGACTTCAGCCCTAGAACAGCTCTGTATGCTTTCTGACCATCAAAGTAAAATCAGTCAGGGTTTCTTAATCTAACATATCCAAGGAAAAACTAAATTACATTGAAGTGCTCATGTGACAGAAGTTTTATGAGTTTGCATGAGCCAGGACAGCAGTTATGGCTTAGCCTGAATTGCCTTGAAGCGACTAAGGACCGAACTACACATGATGATCAGTTTTGCTTATCGATGCCTTGTGATTTTTTGTTGTTGTTGTCAAAATTCATTCAGGAGAGGTTGAGAAATGAACTTCTTAAACCTTTCTCCACGCCCAGTTGTTTGTTCCTGCATCTTTTCTTCCAGATACAGGAATGTGGCTGCAAAGTCAGTATTTTACCAAAAACGTGCCAGAGGGAGAAAACTTAAGAAGCCGTCCCTTGCTGCGTGCCGCTTTCGTGCTCAAGATTTAGTACCCACAGTTGTGTTTGGTCAAAGAGAAAAATCTTGAGGAGCGACAAAATGTCATGTTTCCTTTGATCCTAAGTGTTCATGATGATATACAACATTTTGTTTATGGCCTGGCTGTCGGGATCACACAGTTGCTCCATGGTCATCATTTGACCCCAAAGGGAGAGCGGGTTTAGAGTTCTGACTTTTGGTTAGAGCCCTTGCTCTGTATCAAGTGACGCTTGGTGGGTCTCCCAGCCCTCAGTGGCTGCCGTGTAATGGAAGGAGACACCCCCCCCCCAAATCAAAGTCCCCTTCTGCATAAACAAAACTCTTTATTCTCAGCCAGAGGAGGACTGCTTTGTTGTTGGTGACAGCAGTACAAGTTTGAACCATTAAGGGGAATTAAAATCCCCCCCCCTTACACACAACCATCAGCACCACCTTTTAAAGGATCACCGGTGCCTTAACTAGTTGCTGTAGATATTCCGGGTTGTGTGGCTGTGGTCTTGGCATTGTAGAACCTGGCGTTTCGCCAGTAGCTGTGACTGGCATCCTCAGAGGTATAACACAGAAAGATGGATTACTCTCTGTGTCAAGGTGAGAAGAAAAATGGTAGGCAGGTAATTTATATCTACTCCAGAAGGTGGGGTAGGACCTGAGTCATTATCTTGTAGGAGTTCCCCAGGCTATGGACATGCTAATGGAGGAGCTTTCCTGAGAAGGTTCTTTTGTGTGTGGATTGTTTCCTGAGGAAGTTTCTTGTTATCCTACAAGATAATGACTCAGCCCACCTACCATTTTCTTCTCACCTTGACACAGAGAGTATTCCATCTTTCTGTGTTATACACAGTTACTGGCAAAACGTCAGGTCCTATAATGCCAAGACCACGGCCACACAACCCGGAAAATCTACAGCAACTAGTGAACTCCGGCCGTGAAAGCCTTCGACAACATAGTGCCTTAACTCTTTGTAAGAGGAAAAAAAGGTAATATGTATTTGCATGAAATATGTACAAGATAAATCCTTCAATTAAATCACTTTCAGCGAGCTTGAAGAACTGTCAGTTCCCATTTGTCAGGCCAGCCGTTGGGTCCCTAACCTCTTTCTATCTCTCTGGTGCAGGATTAACGTTTGTGTCGGCCAAAGAATCATTGCCCTTCCACACGACAACCGACAGGTTAGATTGTTTGACATGTCTGGAGTACGATTAGCGCGGCTTCCTCGCAGCAACAGACAGGTACTGGGATGTTTTAGTTGTGTACATAAAGATACATTCGTGATTCTTTGTGTCCTTCTTTTGCATGAAGGAAGATAGAGCAAAAAAGCGGGGGGTGGGGGACAGTGTTCCCTCTAAGCTGAGTTAGTGTGAGCTAGCTCACAGTTTTTTTAGCCTCCGGCTCACACGTTTTTGTCTTAGCTCAGGAAGGAGGGCTCCAGAGCAAACTAACATATGTAGTAGCCAAATCCCTTGCTCACAACTTTAACACCAGTAGCTCACCAAGTAGAATTTTTGCTCACAAGGCTCCACAGCTTAGAGAGTGCATTGGTGGGGGAGACGTCTGTGATAAACTGAAGAGGGTACAGAGCAATGTTCCCTCTAAGCTGTGCAGTCTTGTGAGCAAAAATTCTAATTTGTGAGCTACAGAGACAGCAGTTGATTCCCCTTCTCTCACGTTTTAAACCCTTGGCTAATTATCTTACATATGCCGAGGAATGTTTGATGAAGTTTTTATTGGCCGATACTTATGATTCTGTCTCACGCAATGTTGCTAAATATTGTTATTTGGTAATTAAAAAGTGTAGAATGTACTGTAACTCGAGCCATTAATGACGGAATTGACCGGTTTCGTATTTTAGTATTTAAGGCTGCAAGGATTCTATGTCGTAGACTCGGTGTTGTACTATTTTGGTTTATTTTGCTGGTCTTATGACTGTTCTTAATAATAAATTTGATTTGACTTTGTGAGCTACTGGCATTAAAGTTGTGAGCGAGCGATTTGGCTGCTGCATCAATTAGTTTGCCATCCTTACTGAGCTAAGACAAAAATGTATGAGCCAGAGGTTAAAAAACTGTGAGCTAGCTCACACTAACTCAGTTTAGAGGGAACACTGGTACAGAGTACCAGAACCCACACAAAAGGAAAGACTATGTACCGTACTGTGTGTAAACCAAATATTAATATATACGGTGCAAAAGTATAGTGTGATGAGTGAAAACAGTCCCTATATACTGTGCATAATACAATAAAGTATGACCATTCAAATATACAAAACAAAAAAAAATTAAATGCATAATACAGTGACTCATGACAATAGGAAAAGTATAGCACTTGACGATCTGCTGGCTACTTAAGGTACCGTTTCGATATCTTCTTCAGAATTGTTACTGTTCCCGTTGCACAATGGCCTTGAACAATTGTAGTAAATTATTTATCAGCCAGTCACAGAGGATTAAGAAGTGTATTTAAATCACATATCTGTGATCAAATTTCTCATGTGTAATTCTGGAAATCTTGCATATACAGCAAAGAGGCCAGGGTGAAGAGACTGAATACATCTGAATTTTCTTCTTCAGTATATTGGCACAGTAGTCGTGCAATAGCTGGAAAGACTGTAGCCTCTTCTGTTTAAAAATCGTGCAGATTTATGTTTGCCCCAACTCACGTACCCAGTGGTATTTTCTTGCACTGATTCTAGGATGGGGACCATCCATTGTCCAGCCTTTGTCCTGGTCGCCACGCCAGCTTTGAAATGTCGAGAATTCAGGGCAGCTTCACCTGTTTGTTTAGGCGAACACCCAACATGCAAGTGTGAAGATTGAAGTTAAACAAATATGCTACTGCAACAAATATGCTACTGCTCGCGGGGAGGGCAGGGTATAAATTGAAGTAAGAAAGAAAGAAAGAAATTCCTTGGGACAAGTCTGATAATCTCCAATCCACAGATTTGGGGAGTAGCTACCCAATCCTAAACTAGTGCAAGCCTAGCTTCCCTCCAGCTGCTTGAGGTGAGCCCATCTCAGTCTCTCAAGTTTTGCTTCGTAAACAGATCAGTCCTTCTCATCATGTTATTCCTGCCCATAGTAGAGACCCTGTCATCTTACATCCCTGTCTGAAACACTTTTTCAATGGAAGTAAGCCCCCTTTGTTCCTATGAAATGAATTCCCAGGTGTGATATTATCTCTACATGGTCTTGGGATGAAACTCCGATTTCCACAAATGGAAGAGAAGTTGTGCCCAGTGCTGCCATAGAGACAACCCAGCAAAAGTTAGGCACTTTTAAATTGTATTTATTATTGTATTTCTACCCCGCCCTCCCCGCAAACGGGCTCAGGGTGGCTTACAAAGGGCACCATGTGCCTACACATAAAAACAAAACAATTTAGCAAAATAAAGTGCTCACTAGTTCCATCGCTGCTTGCAGTGAGAGAAGTTCAAACACGTTCTTAATTGTCCGGTGGAGGCAAAGGAACCTGACAGTGTTTAGCTGGATTGTGCCCTTCAAAAATGTGTGTAAAAATCCAAAATGCAAAAGACAAGGTGCACACACGTCCCATTTAGTTGTGAGGAGCTGATCCTGCTGGCTAGCGTTTGTACTGAAAACACTGAGGCGCTGTTGTTCTTGACAGTATTTGAGGATTACCGTGGCCGCTGTCTGTACGGGTGGCACAACTTGATTTATTCTGGCAGGGAATGATTAACGGTACATGCAGTGGTCTGTTGAGAACACAGGCCTTTGGAAGGTTAAGCCCGATAGGGATGATAAACCGTCTTTGGTCCGCATATGTTGAAACTAATAGATTTGTGGAGTTTCCAGTTCTAATGCAGGCCTTTTTGCTGTCCCAGGGTCACAGAAGAATGGTTTGTTGTTCAGCATGGAGTGAAGACCACCCGATATGCAACCTGTTCACCTGTGGATTCGATCGCCAAGCTATAGGGTGGAATATCAACATCCCTGCCCTGCTTCAGGAAAAATGAGATGCTGGAAGAATTCTCCTTTTCATTTTTTTTTGTTGCCATAGACTTTTAACCTTTTTTTTTTTTGCAGGCACTAGTCTGCTCTCATCGTAAAAGGTGCACCTTGAAAAGGGGGGGTGTTGCAGATGTCATTACCACGTCGTGCGCAGTTTGCATGAAATGTACAGAAAAAATGTGACCTTTTCAAAGAAGTTAGGTTCTTGTGTATGAACTTTTATATCTTGGCATCCACTGGCGCTAAAAGGATGGTTGGCTTTCCTACAGGGCATAGAAGCGTTCATAAGTTATTCAGCATAGATGAACTGTAGGGCATTATGTTTGACTTAAATGTGAATTCTGTGTCGTTATTGTGAAGAATATATAGTCTGCCTTCCCCCTTCCTCCTCATCATTTTACATATCTGCCCTTATGGTTGAAGAGAATATAGGGCCAAACTCTTTAAGATGAAGGGTGAATTTCACTTAGAAGTATGCTGGGAATCTTTCTTGTGTCTGTATGAAGTCTGACTCAAGCACTCCGATGTAGTGGCAGTTCCACCTCCAATTTAATCTGGTTGCTGGAAACACGAGGAGACAATAAGTAACCCTAAGAATGTCCTTAACTTTTCAAGAAGTAGCCGGCTTGTTCTCAGCCTGTTGGCCTGAGCACCACATTGTGTTTATGGATCTTCACACTCATGGCAAACTCTGAAATACTGCCGTCGCAATCATGGCTATCTGAATAAGCTTTTGAGCACTTTAGTTTATAGCAGTTGTTATAAACCATTTCTGTAAGCATCAAGATGACTTTCCTAGAAAATGTGAGACTATCTGAGAAGGATTTACATAGCTGTGTTTCTATGATTTTTCTCCCCCAGGCCTGAGAATAAACATTGTTTTGGGTTGTTTCTTTTTAAACGCATCCCGTATTTCACATGCTTTAAACGGGCACTCTCCTGCCTTGGTTCTGCCTGAGCCGACGCCACACAGATTGAAATCCAAAGACCTGTGCAGCTAGACCCATGTTCTAGATCTGTGTTCCCACGGCTCTCCTTTCTCCTCACTTCGCATACCAAACTGAGCATGTTCCATTCACCTGGGAAGGGGAGGAGGGTCCACTTTTCAAAGAAAAACAAAAGATACCCCACTGGGTATAGCCAGGAGTTCAGAGGTGCTGGACATCGTTCCCCAGCTCTCCCCAACCCCCCCCCCCCCACTTGTAACTGAGTGCTACCTCAAAACACGGATGTGGGGCTACCATGAATTTTGCTGTTCCACTTCAGCACTTTGAATCTCCTTGCGATGGGCTGTCTCGAAGAGGGAAAGACAATCATAGCCAATGTCTGGCTTACAGTGAAACGTGACTTGTCCATTTTGTCTGTACCCAGGGGTCCCCGTCCTCGCAAGTTTCCCTTCTCTTTTCCTCAAAAGGACCTGGATGGATTTTGCTCCTCCTATATCGAGTCTTGCTTGTTTCGTAGTAGTTGCAAGTTCCTTTTCACTGCTGATTGGGGTTTGGGTTTTTTGGAAGGATTTGGAGGGGTATATTTGTGGCTTCTTCATCATGGTTCTCCTCTCCGTATCTCAAGATTGAGAGCCCCAAAGGCCAGAATAGTCCTGTAGCTTCCTTGTAGATCAAGTTTAAAATGGATTCCTGTAAAACATCTGGTATCTGGAGTCTTGTGATTGTTTTGTTTTTGAATTGTCGAGACTGGCATCTTACCCAGCTCGGTCTAAGATGAATGTGGTAGGCTGGCTCTTTCCCCCTCCCACTTGCATAAGATAGAACAGGTTGGGAGTAAAGGAGCCCATTGCAAGAGAGCCAGAATCTTAGAGGCAATTTGAAGCATTACATTATAAGTAGGCCTATAAAAGCTAAGGTAATAAATTGAGAATCTGGAAGAGAATTCATGCCATCGACATGATCTTTTGGGGGCAAAAGCTTGTGTGACCTCAGAGCACAAGTAGATACCGAGAACTGGGTGAGCAAGTGGTTGAGACATGTGGCGATCGTCATATGTGCTGATACCGAATAAATTACTCCAATTTTTTTGAAAATGATTATTGGATTTTGATATACCTGCTTCCCTCCCCCCCCCCCCCCGGGCGTCTTTGGTGACTCCACAGTTTGGGGTCTACCCAGTCTCTTCCCCCCTGCCACGGTAGCCCATGGCAAGATTTGACTCGGTAACAGATGACTTTATTGTGTGTTCAGTCAACAGGGTTTTGTCTATACAGCAGTTGCCACAGAGAGACAGGAGGGAGGGGAAATACAGCTAGGAGAGAAGAGAACCTGGGAGTTTACCCCTTGACGAGGTTGGATTGCAAGAGAAACCAAAACAAGGCTGAGTTCTGTAGTGCACCTGTAGATTTGTCACTATTGAAAAAACCCACCCTTTCTTTCCCAATGATTTCCTTGGCTTATGGAGCGGAAGGCGTATCCCAGCTGAATTTCTCCACATTTGGTAGCTGTATAGACTTTTCCAGCTTGCCCTGGGCAAAATCTTGGCTGCCTGTGGGTCGTTGACTGAGGCGTTTTTAGCGAGCAGTCTGGGCATATTGAATACTTGATTGCATGGATAGGTCACAGGACTGAGCTCAATAAGGTTTTTTTTAGAAATCAGTATGAAACAATGCAGGGAAAGGTGGGACTTCAGTGGGGCGCTTGTTACACCTCTCTGTATCGGTGAAGGACCAGCCCCTGATAGCAGAGATGCCGAGGTGCTCATTCCCACCGCAGCCTCAAATGCCTCGTCTTCTTCAAGAGGAGCAAGCGAGTTGCTTGACTTGGCTTCTGCAACTTCTTGAATGCTGGGCTGAGCTGACAGGTTCCGTCCCAACGGCAGTCAAATGGCAGAAGTGAAGGGGACAAAAATTAGATGGGTCACACATTTCACTTTTGGGGGTCTCCGCCTTAAAGCGGACAGGTGCTCCAGCTGCTGTAAGTATTGGTCTAATTGTGTCCCACGCATTTCACATAAAAAAAGGAAGGAAAGTGGCTGTTACATATTTTCAGTATTGAGACTTAGTTTTGCTGTTATCACTGGGCAAATTGCAAAGACCTGTCGTGTCTCTGTTTCTTTGTATGTAAGTGTTCTTTAACATGCACATCATTTTTTTTTGCCTATCTGTAACTGTTTCAGAATTTTTAACAAATCTTATTTTCGATGCCGAAGTCTATGAAAATCAGCTTCCTCAGAGGAGGAAAAAAATCCTGTACTTGTGTGTCAATGTAGAACCACTTTTTTAATTTACTAATGTTCTGGTGATTTGTGTTTTTTTAGATGTTCAGTGTGTGTCTTCGTTGCAATTTTAAAAATGCCATTAAATCATTCAGCAGAGTTCCAGAACTTGTGTTTTTAATAAGCTCCGAATAACATAATGTGTAAAGTCTTTCTTTATTCTCTCCAAATCCTCAAAGTAATCATGTATTTTCTTTCTAATTCAGATTTTCTCAGCTTCTTCTCTTGTTTTTGGTTGGTGGAACTAGATGTTATGGCACTTGCAGGGCCACTGCTGAAAACTGTAGCCATGTGTTTTGCTGTCCTTCTACATGATACGTTTTCTGTTCATGATTTGCCACGTTAGTTGTCACGGGGCAAAAAAAGGCACAGTACAGTGTCAGACCATGCACTGAGCATCTCTCGATGTTAACAAAGAGGTAGAGGAGAATGTGATGCAGGGAGTTCATTTTCAACAGTAGCTCTGTGTCATTCATAACATCTAGTATTATCCTACACAATGGCTGGCAGGAAGAAGGCCAAGTTGACTTTTGAAAATGGGATTCATCTGTATAATAAAGTGAACCCTGCAGCTTGAAGTCTCTAACTTAAAAGTGGCTTTGACGGATATTTTTGTCCCTTTTTGTGTCTTCCCATATTCCGTGCAAGGAAATCTTTAATTGCATCTTGCTACACAGGTTATGAACATCCTCCACATGGCTTGTTTCCCCAGAGTTACATTAAATAGATTTTTTCCCCCTTGCTTAAAGAACCAAGTCAAAACATAGTTTCAGTACAATTTATTTTGATACAACAGCCCTCAGAGTATCATGAAACGCTTTACAGACTGAACAGAAATAACTGATACCGCTTACAATAAAGCTGGAGTCCTGACTGACAAGTGATCCGAAGATTGTCACACTCATATAGAAATGAAATGAGTTCCGATTGCTATGGAAACATCTTGCATCGTTAACGATGCATCCCAAAATATTCCCGCAGAATCGTTATCCGTCGCATTTCAAAGGTCTTGCATGTCAGGTTTGTCGAGCTCCACAAGTGAGGATAGGCCGACTGGATTGGATCCCACCAAGCTGTTCTGCTAAGGCGGGTGCTTCCCCCAAATGCTAGGAGCAGGAACAGCCTGCCTTCAGCTGGGGGGGGGGGAAGGTAGTGGACCCCTGCCATCAGAGGTACGAGGTCAGCCACTGTTCCTAATGGAGGGATTGTATGAAAACTGAACTGAGAACCCTACAAAGAATGCCTTCTTTCTCATCTTTGCTTCTCTTCGGAAATGTGCAATCCATCTGTATGATTCCAAAGAACAAGGCCCGAACCAGTGCAGGATAGACAGGGTAGCTACTCCACCGAGGAAATCTAACACAAACGTGCAGACTTGGACACAATTTAGCCAGTTTGGTGTAGTGGTTAGGAGCGCGGACTCTAATCTGGGACAACTGGGTTTGATTCCCCACTCCTCCACATGCAGCTGCTGGTGTGACCTTGGGTCAGTCACAAGTTCTCTCAGCTATTCTCTCAGGAGCAGTTCTTGAAAGAGCGCTCTCGGCCCCACCTATCTCACAGGGTGTCTGTTGTGGGGAGGGGAAGGGCAAGGAGATTGTAAGCTGCTCTGAGACTCGGAGTAGTGAAGGGTAGGGTATAGATCCGATGTCGTCTCTTATTTGCACAAATATCCCATGTCAAATTGGCATGGAAGTCCCTTACATGTAACATGTCAAGGAAGAGGCAGTGGGCCTTACTGACGGTTACGTGCAAGAGAGATCTTGATGTATGGATGCATACAAGGGAATACGTGAGTTCTGCAGT